TAAAGAGAATTGAGAATTTGTTCTCGATTCTAGTGAGAGGTTCTTTTTTACATTTGTGCCGAGCTCACGAAAGTTTGAGACACTTCATTGGAGAGGAAACATTGGGGCGACGAGATGATATGACAATTTTGATGGGTCGTTTCTTGCTAGAGGAGGATCGGCGTTGGTTGTTGAGCATTGGATTGCAGAGGAGTTTTGGAGCTTTGACATATTTGGATCATCTTAGTCATAAGTTGCCGACTGCTGTATATAGAGATTTTAGATCTGGTGGAGCTGCTTCAGATTTTAGGTTACGTCGGATGTTTGGTTGTCCAGCATTTGGTCACATCGAGGATGTGAGATTTGATCCGATAGCACATTTGGGATTCAAAGGCTCGTTTGGTTATTAGTTGGGAGACTAATAGAGGTATAAAACAACACAGTAGAACGCAGGTTGAAGCGTGAAACGAGACGGCGAATCGAAGAATCGAAGCATCCAGTTTTTAGCCCGTGAGTCGACTCATACATGTACATGAGTCGACTCATCAGGTTAAGTCGACTCATGCTTGTCATGAGTCGACTCACGAAACCTAGCCGTTTTGTCAAAAGTTTCTGACGAGTCGACTCACCTCATCATGAGTTGACTCACTTGGCATGAGTCGACTCACTTGGCATGAGTCGACTCACTTGGCATGAGTCGACTCATGCATGTTTATGAGTCGACTCATCTACGGTTTCTTGGTTCGTTTGGGTTTCTGTTTGCACGAATTCATATGGCGTTTGGGCTTGGTTATTTACCACTTTATCATCCACGTTGTTACACCGATATAAGGGATTCGACTCACTTGGCATGAGTCGACTCACTTGGCATGAGTCGACTCATGCATGTTTATGAGTCGACTCATCTACGGTTTCTTGGTTCGTTTGGGTTTCTGTTTGCACGAATTCATATGGCGTTTGGGCTTGGTTATTTACCACTTTATCATCCACGTTGTTACACCGATATAAGGGATTGTTTTAGGGTTTTAAAAAAGGAGAAAGCAATCAAGAGAGATTAGATTGTATTTGAGAATTGGGAGAGATTATTCTTCAGTTCTAGTGAGATTGTGAGAGATTGTAAACTATTTTATTCTCAAAATCTAGAGAAGGTATTTTCCTTTACCACCACTGAATTATTCTTGTGTTCTTGTTATTTTCTTCTCAACTCACCTTTAATAATTCTGCGATCAAAGGTACTCACATGGCGACTCGTATCAAGTTAGTATCAGAGCGATCAGATCATGTGAAGGGGGCATCCTGTGTATGGTCCTGACTCGATCACAATATAAGAAGCTAGACGAGATCCTTATTTCATTGGAAGGAGTCCAGAAATTAAGGAAGGAGAAGATGACTGAAGGGGATAATTCAGTAAAACTTGATGCAATGGAGAAGCAGATCAAGACGATCGGTTCTACACCCAATTAGCTCGTAGGTCTCATCAATGGAAAGGACAAAAAGGAGGAATCTTCTTTGAAGGGTAAGAAGAAAATCAAAGAGTCCGATGGAGAGGGCGAGAAAACTGGTTCTGATGAGGAGGCCGAGATTGTTAAGACTGCTCTACATCAAGGGGGTAAGAATTACTACCAGAAATTGAAAATTGATTTCGAGGTGGAGATTCATGTTTATGATGGGAGTGTCAATGTGGAGAAGCTCGATGATTAGATCGAGCGTATGAAGATGTATTTCACTCTCTATGGATATTCATCCAAGGACAAGATTGTGTTCGTGACTTTGAAGCTTTCGGGGCACGTGTTAACGTGGTGGAAATCCTACTGCTAGTAGGAGAAAAAGGCGATGGTGTGGAACTAGTTTAAGGAGATACTGAGAAAGCAGTTCTATCTAGTGAGGTTCCTTGAGGAGCGTTGGTACAAGTGGTACGGCTTACGTCAAAGATTCAATCAGGCCATTCAAGAGTACTGATAAACACGTAAAATATGCATTATCTTAGTGTGTTTCAAGCATGATTTACGAGTGTTTAATGCATAATAAACACGTAAAATATGCATTATCTTAGTGTGTTTCAAGCATGATTTACGAGTGTTTAATGCATATTTTGTGTTTAGATCGAGGATACATTATCTTAGTGTGTTTCAAGCATGATTTACGAGTGTTTAATGCATATTTTGTGTTTAGATCGAGGATATTGTTATGGTTTGTGTTCTTATATGTAGGTATTGGCTCAAGATTGAAATATTTGATGATCGTCGGAAGTTATACAAGAGTTTGAAGTAACAACAAGATTTCGAAGGCATGGTTCGTGAAGAAAATAGATGCACGAGTATAAAGAACTAGAATTTCGACCATGATGCAATTTGAATTCGGAAATCTCAAAAGATAAAAGTTATAGATCTCTTCAACAGGTTTCTAATACAACTTGAATCACCTCATTCCGAGGTCGGACGCAAAAGTTATAGCCAAAATACCAAAAACTAAACAAAGAAGCAAAAAATCAGCAAAACAGCCCCTACCACACCCTGGTGTGGTGCAGACCACACCTGTGGCACGGGAATTAGCTATTTTCCAGATTTTTAGGGACATATAAATAGATGTTTTGACTTAGGGTTTTGGATATCCTTTGTTATGTTCTCTTAGCCATCAATTAGCAATTATTTTGGAGTTCAAGTATTGAAGAAAGACATCAATCTCTTGTACAAGATTGGATTGTAAGTTTTGATTTTGGAGATTTCAATTGAAAGACGGGTTAATTCTTTCCTCTCTTTGATTTATTTCTTCTTATGATTGATTTGCATTATTAGTTGATGTATTCTCTTATCCCAATCATGTGTGAGTAAATTTATTATCTAGGATTGGGAAAGAACCCAACTTTTTGGTGATTGATGATGAATTGATATAGGTTCTTGGTAAAAGTTTAAATCTTTAAACTTGATTTCTAGTGTTTTAATTTTGTTGATTCGCTTGATCACCGTATTAGCAATCATAGGTAGTTAATTGAAAGACTGAAAGGTGAAGATTAATACCGGATCTCTAAAAATTAAGCAGGGAGCTCGAACCACGAAAGTAGCCTAGATTCCTTGGGGATTTGATTTGGATTAGCATAAAGCTTAATGGGTTTAGATTAATCTTAATTCCACGAAAGTAGGTTAATTGAGATTAATTAGGCACGATCTTTAGACCTTGAAAGAGGCTTTAGATTGATTTAGGCTAATTCACCCTTTTTAGTTTAAACTAACACCAAAAACTAAAATAATTCATCATTGAGCATCGAAGTTGTGGTGATAACCCAATCCTGGCTCTTCATTATATTGAATTTCCACATGATTAGTTATTATTTTATTTCTTTTAATTTTCATCTCTTCTAATTTACTCATTAGTTTAGCTAGTCGAATAACGTAAGATTTGGTAATTAATCCTAGTCCCTGTGGGATCGACCTTGATAGCTACAACGAGTCTGTGCGCTTGCAGATTTTGCCCATCAAGTTTTTGGCGCCGTTGCCGGGGACTACGGTGTTAATATTAAGTGCTCACGTTATTAAACTAGACTAGATTTTTTTATATTCTCTTCGCTACTCACTTTCTTTTATGCAAGGGCATCAAACAGAAGTACACAACGAAAACAATCCTGAATTATCAGTGACTCTTGCAGAGATAAGAAGGTATATAAGGGAGCAAAGAAACACAGAACAAGCTACAATGGGTGATCAGAATCAGCTTCTTAAGGATTTCGTTGCCCCAAATGCTCAAGGCACGCATTCGAGTATTACAAGGCCCACTATTGAAGCTAATAATTTTGAGCTTAAACCATCACTGCTTTTAATGGTTCAGCAAAATCAGTTTGGAGGAGGTGCTACTGAAGACCCGAATCTCCACCTGTCAATTTTCTTGGAGTATTGCGACACTTTGAAGCTTAATGGAGTGACCAATGATGCTATTCGACTCAGACTTTTTCCATTCTCTTTAAAGGATAAGGCTAGGACTTGGTTGCACTCATTGCCCGCTGGGTCCATCACCACTTGGGATCAGTTGTCCAGGGTATTTCTTGCAAAGTATTTTCCCCCAAGTAAAACAGCACATATAAGGAACCGGATCACAAGCTTTGTACAGAAGGAAGGAGAGTCACTTTATGAAGCTTGGGAACGCTACAAGGAATTATTGAGGATGTGCCCTCACCATGGACTGGAGAAGTGGTTAATTGTTCACACCTTCTACAACGGGATCACTTACAACACTCGGATGACTGTTGATGCTGCTTCAAGAGGAGCTTTGATGAACAAAACAATAGATGAGGCATACACTCTCATTGAAGACATGGCTCAAAATCACTATCAATGGGTGAACGAGCGGGCTCAGACATCAAAAGGTGGCAAGTATGAAATAGATGCTTTAGATCATATATCCTCTAAAGTTGATGCTTTATTTAAAAAGGTTGAAAGCTTGAGTATTAATTCTGTGGTGTCTACTTCAATTGCATGTGAGATATGCGGTTATGTGGGTCATTCTGCACTTGAATGTCAATTAGGAAACCCCTCATCCCTTAATACTTCTGATAATGAACATGTTAACTATGTTAATAACTTTAATCAGAAGGGAGACCCTTTCTCCAACACTTATAATCGGGGTGGAGGAATCATCCTAATTTTTCTTATAGAAACCCACCTGGAAATTCCATGCCCGCATCTAATTTTGGTCCACCTGGTTTTCGTGCTCCCCAATCTAATCTCCCTCCCCAAAGTTCTAATTTGGAAAATATAATGGAAAAGTTTGTGATGACTCAGTCAAAATTGAATGAAAAGTTTAAACAACAACAACAAACCACGAATGAGGTAGTAAAACAATTGTCCTCTAAGATGGATTCCTTAGCTACGCATAACAAGATGTTAGAGACACAAATCACTTAATTGGCGCAAAATGCTACCTCATCCTCTAGGCCTTCAGGCATGCTACCTGGACAACCTGAGACGAATCCCAAAAGTCATGTGAATGCTATAACCCTTAGGAGTGGAAAATAATATGATGGACCTAAGATGAAGGAAAATGATGGGGAAGATGGTCATCATGAAGAGAAAACAAAAATTATGATAGATGTGAATAATGAGACCCGGATGCAGAAAGAAGAAAAAGTTGAGAAATATGTGGCCCCCGCTCATTACAAGCCTCCTCTACCCTTTCCCCAAAGGTTAGCTAAGGCTAAGTTAGAAAAGCAGTTCGGAAAATTTTTGGAGATTTTGAAAAAGTTGCACATCAATATCCCATTCACTGAAGCTATTTTTCAAATACCTTCATATGCTAAGTTCTTGAAAGAGATCCTATCCAATAAAAGGAAGTTGGAAGAATACGAGACTGTGGCCCTTACTGAGGAGTGTAGTGCTATCATCCAGAATAAGCTGCCTCCTAAGCTTAAGGATCCAGGTTCATTTTCTATTCCTTGTGTTATTGGTAATGTCTCTATTAATCGTGCTTTGTGTGATTTAGGTGCAAGCGTAAGTTTAATGCCGATGTCTATTTGTAAGAAGCTTGGCACAGGTGATTTGAAGCCAACCACGATATCACTCCAATTGGCGGATCGATCGGTAAAATATCCGGTAGGTATACTTGAAGATGTACCTATCCAGGTCGGTAAGTTCTTTATCCCGGTTGATTTCATTATTTTAGAAATAGAAGAAGATTCTAACATTCTAATTATATTAGGAAGACCCTTCCTTGCTACTGCAGGTGCCATAATTGATGTTAAAAATGGAAGGCTCTCTTTAAATATTGGAGGGGAGATGATAGAATTTGATTTAAGTAATACTATGAAACTCCCTCTAACTGATAAAATTTGTTACAGGATCGACGTCATTGACAAGTGTACACATGAGCAAATTGTAAACAATAACTCAGCTGATCCACTTGAGAAATGTTTGGTAAGTGATGGTTCAATAAATGATGAAGACCTTGAGGTAGCCGCGTATGCTCAATCTTTAGAATCAACATCAACTGCTCCACTTCGAAATGCAAAGCTTGAAAGATTGATGCTAGAGCCAAAAGGATCTATTTGTTAAAAGCATAATGCGCCAAAGGTAGAATTAAAACCCCTTCCTTCCTCTTTGAGGTATGAATTTCTTGGCCCTGACTCTACTTATCCTGTGATTGTGAATGCATGTCTAAATGAAAATGAAACTGATAAGTTGCTTAGAACACTTAGGGTACATCGCAAGGTCATAGGATACACCATGAACGACATTAAGGGAATCAACCCATCGATTTGCATGCATAGAATTCTCTTGGAAGATGATCATAAACCCGCAATAGAGCACCAACGTAGATTAAATCCTAACATGAAGGAAGTGGTTAAAAAAGAGGTGCTTAAGCTACTCCAACGTAGATTAAATCCTAACATGAAGGAAGTGGTTAAAAAAGAGGTGCTTAAGCTACTAGATGCTGGTGTAATCTATCCTATTTCAGATAGTGAATGGGTTAGCCCGGTTCATGTGGTTCCAAAAAAAGGGGGTATGACCATAGTTAAGAATGCGAATAACGAACTTATCCCTACTAGGACGGTTACGGGTTGGAGGATGTGTATTGATTATAGAAAATTAAACAAGGCAACCCGAAAAGATCATTTTCCACTTCCCTTTATAGACCAGATGTTGGAAAGATTGGCTAGGCATTCCTATTTTTGTTATTTAGATGGCTATTCGGGATTTTTCCAAATCCCTATTCATCCTAGTGACCAAGAAAAGACCACTTTTACTTATCCTTATGGTACCTTTGCTTATAGGCGCATGCCTTTCGGTCTTTGTAATGCCCCTGCCACTTTTCAATGATGTATGATGGCTATTTTCTCTGATTTTATAGAAGACATTATGGACGTGTTTATGGATGACTTCTCTGTGTATGGAACTACTTTTGATGGTTGTTTAGCTAACTTGTCTCGAGTTTTGCAGCGTTACGAAGAAGTTAATTTAGTCCTAAATTGGGAGAAATGCCATTTTATGGTAAGGGATGGAATAGTTCTAGGACATAAGGTGTCCGAGCAAGGAATTGAAGTTGATCGTGCAAAAGTGGAAATCATTGAAAAATTGCCGCCACCAATGTCCGTTAGGAGAATAAGAAGTTTCTTGGGACATGCCGATTTCTATCGGCATTTCATCAAAGACTTTTCAAAAATTACAAAACCCTTAACTAAACTTCTTCTTAAAGATGATCCCTATGATTTCACTGATGAATGTCTTGATGCTTTTTGTAGGTTGAAGGAAGCATTAATAACAGCTCCTATTATGCAACCGCCGGATTGGAATCTCCCATTTGAAGTCATGACTGATGCAAGTGATTACGCGGTTGGAGCTGTGTTGGGTCAAAGAAAGGACAAGAAGTTCATGTAATTTATTATGCTAGTCACACTCTTGATGAGGCCCAAGTTAACTATGCTACCACTGAAAAGGAGTTATTAGCAGTTGTTTTCGCCTTTGACAAGTTCAGGTCTTACTTAGTGGGGTCCAAAGTCATCATTTATACTGATCATTCCGCCATCAAATATCTTTTGAGCAAGCAAGATGCCAAGCCTAGGTTGATTCGATGGATACTACTTTTGTAAGAATTTGACCTAGAGATAAAGGATAAGAAAGGGACAGAAAATTTGGTGGCAGACCATTTGTCGAGGATGAAACCAGAATCACATGATAGGGAGGAGGATGAACTACCGATCGACGAATCTTTCCCAGATGATCAATTGTTAGCCATAGAAAGATTGGATGCACCATGGTATGCGGACTTCGTCAACTACATAGTGTATGGAGTCTTACCTCCGGATCTGAGTTATCAACAGAAAAAGAAGTTCTTTGCTGACTTGAAGTATTATTTTTGGGATGAACCATTTCTATACAAACGGTGTGTTGATGGGATGTTTAGAAGGTGCGTTCCTGAAGATGAGGTTACAAGTATTCTCCATCATTGCCATTCATCTTCTTACGGAGGACATGCAAGCACTTCAAAGACAGGTGCAAAAGTTCTACAATCAGGTTTCTATTGACCGAGACTTTTTTGGGATGCAAATCAGTTTGTGAAATCTTGTGATAGTTGTCAGAGGACCGGGAACATTTCGAAGCGACATGAGATGGCTTTACACTCCATCTTGGAAATTAAGGTCTTTGATGTGTGGGGCATAGATTTCATGGGACCGTTTCCGTCATCGTGTAATAACAAGTTCATCTTAGTGGCGGTGGATTACGTCTCCAAGTGGGTAGAACCGATAGCGTCCCCCACTAACGATGCTAAAGTGGTTGTGAAACTATTCAAGAACGTTATTTTTCCAAGGTTTGGAGTGCCACAGACAGTAATCAGTGATGGCGGTTCACACTTCATAGAAAGAAAATTCGAAGCTCTCTTAAGATAATATGGGGTCACTCATAAGGTTGCCACGCCATACCATCCTCAAACTAGTGGTCAAGTGGAGGTTTCGAATCGAGAAATCAAGAGTATCTTGGAGAAAACAGTTAATCGTTCGAGAAAGGACTGGTATATGAAACTCTCGGATGCTTTATGGGCCTATCGAACTGCCTACAAAACACCCATAGGTATGACACCGTTCAAGTTGGTGTATGGCAAATCGTGCTATCTCCCAGTTGAGTTAGAGCATAAGGCGTATTGGGCTATCAAGTTGCTCAATTTCGATATGAAGACCGCAGGTGAGAAAAGAAAGCTTCAACTTCATGAGCTAGATGAGCTACGATTAGATTCCTATGAGAATGCTCACATTTATAAAGAAAAGACTAAACGATGGCACGATAAGAATATCCTTCGAAGAGATTTTAATCAAGAAGATATGGTATTACTTTTCAACTCTCGTTTGAAGCTTTTTCTGGGCAAGCTCAAGTCTAGGTGGTCCGGACCGTTTCAAATCCACGAGGTCTTTCCTAGTGGAGTTGTTGAAGTTTAGAGCGAAACAACAGGATCTTTCAAGGTGAATGGGCAATGATTGAAGTATTACATTGTAGGTGAACAAAACGAGAAATGGGTCACTTATATCCTTTCTGATCCCCCTTCGTCGGAGAATTGAGCACAAAAGGGGTCGAGCTCATGACCATAAACGAGCGCTTCTTGGGAGCCCATAGGTATGACACCGTTCAAGTTGGTGTATGGCAAATCGTGCTATCTCCCAGTTGAGTTAGAGCATAAGGCGTATTGGGCTATCAAGTTGCTCAATTTCGATATGAAGACCGCAGGTGAGAAAAGAAAGCTTCAACTTCATGAGCTAGATGAGCTACGATTAGATTCCTATGAGAATGCTCACATTTATAAAGAAAAGACTAAACGATGGCACGATAAGAATATCCTTCGAAGAGATTTTAATCAAGAAGATATGGTATTACTTTTCAACTCTCGTTTGAAGCTTTTTCTGGGCAAGCTCAAGTCTAGGTGGTCCGGACCGTTTCAAATCCACGAGGTCTTTCCTAGTGGAGTTGTTGAAGTTTAGAGCGAAACAACAGGATCTTTCAAGGTGAATGGGCAATGATTGAAGTATTACATTGTAGGTGAACAAAACGAGAAATGGGTCACTTATATCCTTTCTGATCCCCCTTCGTCGGAGAATTGAGCACAAAAGGGGTCGAGCTCATGACCATAAACGAGCGCTTCTTGGGAGACAACCTAAGTTTTCATCCATTTTTTTATTTATTTCATTTAAATTTTATTTTTTTTTATTTTTTAGGCAATTGGATCAGCACAAATTTAACTTATACTATTTTTCGATCATGCAGTTGTGAAGAAAGGAAGACATGGCATCTCAAAAAAAACTGCAGAAAAAAGAGTTAAAATAGGATGGCAGACTCTACCACACTCAGGGGTGGTGTACACCACATCCATGGTTGATGCGGCATAATTATATACCAAAAATTGCAAGTGCACAATTTATCAAGTTATAGTATAAAAAGATATCGATCCCACGAAGAATGTGATTTGAAGAGATTATTAAACTTGGTTCTTATATTTTGTGCATGACAATTAGGAATAAAGAATAAGTATGAATGTGATGAGTGATTTGTTGTGACTATTTGCAATAAATAATAAATTGAATTTTAGAGGAGAGAAGGAAGAATTAAAGAATAAATGAAATCATAAGGCAAGAAAGATGAATGAATAAAATCAAGAAATAAAACCAAGAATGAAAAGAAAATTTAAGAAAGTCAAGATGGAGGATTCAAAAGAAGTAAGAAATCTAGAATATGATCCACTAACCAATTTCAATTACAAAATATAAACTATTCTCTTTTTATCATATTTCAACTTAGATTTATTAAGCATAGATTATCAAACCATTTAAGGAAAGTGTAACCTATCAAATTATCATCTAAGCTAAAATTACTATTCATGATAAGAACAACAACATGATAATAATCCTAGAATTCATAAGCATAACCTATCAAACCATTTAAGATAAGCATAGATTATCAAATTCTTCTTCTACCGATTAGTTCTCTAGTTGATTATCCTAAACATGAACATTTTAAGTACAAGAGAATAATTCATACAATATAAAGGAAATTAGACTAGTTTCATATAATTCTAAACTTCCTACAAGAATTAAATTCACATCTTTAAGAAATAAAAACAAGAAAAAGAACTAATTACAAAATTAAAAAGAAAAGAGAAATCTAAACTATGAACAAGAAATAAATCTAATTACAAAGAAAATAAAAAAATCTAAACTACAAAATAAATTACAGAAATTAAATGCAAGAAAAATAAATCTACTCTACAAATTAAAGTGCAAAAAGAAATAAAAAAAAAACAAGAAAATAAATCTACACTACAAGCATGAATTTAAATTTAACTAATAAGCAATAATAAAGAAATTACAAAAAAGAAATTAAAGAGAAAAGAAATGCAAACCTTCAAATTGCTCTTCATCTCCATCCTCATCATTCCACAAAGAGGAGAAAGAACAAATTTAAAGAGGAAAAAATTATTTTTATTAATTGCAACTAAAGTTATAATTTTTTTGGAAGGCCTTCTCAATTAAGAGTAGCCCTCCTTTCCAAAAGGAGTTTACAAAATTTTCACA